TGAAATTTCAACGGATTTTTTTTTTTTAAGTAGAACAGAACAAGTTTGAATTATTTTATTGAACAATTATTTGTTTAATTGAAGAACGGAAACAGGAATGTTGAGTTAAATATTACTCATCTGTGCATGTGATGGAGGAATGCACAGTGCCTATAGGGGGTGTGGTCTCAATAGCCATGCAGTGTGCTATGGCATGGATATTCAAGTGTACTTGAATGGCATCTGTTTGTTTTAGTCAAGATTATGATAAAATATACTTTCCCCAACTATATCTAAGTTCCCTATGAAGAACCAACCTTCAATTTAGAAAATTCCCAGTTTATTCCCATAAATTCCCGTTAATTCCTGTGGAAAGTTTCCATCTTTGAAAATTCCCGGAATTTTGCAACCCTAGTGGTAGCCAAACATCTCACAAGTCGTCGGAAGCTCCAACAGTTTAAACTAGGCAAGAATATGTCAAACATCATTTCAAGAACAAAATATTATCTAGTATTCAGACCATTATGATTACTCAGACATTAACTCTAAAAGCTATTTCAGCATCAACAGGACCTAACCACTATATAACAACATGCAGGGTTAAAACAATCACAGAACAGTAGGTGGACCAGGCATAAATATATAACATACATTTGTGATTAATCCCTGACAAAGTTGTCATTGTAAATGACAAGAAAGTACACCATCCAGAATCCAGGAGTGTTAAAGTACCCTGTCACACACGCCGACAAAAAAGTTAAGTTAAACCCTGCCTGCCTGCCTCCATCTAATCAGCACAGCGACCATGAGCCGTCTGCAGTTCTGCTCCCAGCCTCTCGCCTCTCATTTCTCTGACTTGTGGCCGAGTCTTCGCATGTCGATGTGCCTGGCAGAGGCCCAGGCAGAGGCCCAGGAGTCGATCCAGTGAATTCAAACCGGCCACAGCTTCATCTTTTTTTATCTCTTCTTTGCCTCAGTCCCTTTTCAGAGCAGTCTTGCCTTCAAATACCCCAAAGACACCAAAATACAGTATTTCTTGGAACAACTGCAGAAAAAAAAAAAATGTGAAAAACAATCTTGATTTGCATCTTTCTTTCTTTCTCTCGTGTTTGTGGCTCAACGTCGTAATTTGTTCCTTGTTCCTCCCTCTCACACACTCTCCTTAGACCAATGAGATTAAACAGTCAGTGGGACAGGCAGTCTGAGGTTGATGGTCCACTCCAAAACAACAGGATTGATGTCCCTCATCCCGCCCTGTCACATCTCCTGACTATCCGCCACACCACACACAGGGGAGCTAACCTTGGCAGTGACTCCGGGGACCGGGGCCAAGGCCGCCTCTCAGGATGGTTCAGAGGCAGAAAGTAATACAGCTGTAAGCCCTTGACTCGTCCCCTGGTGCTTACAACAATCTGATGCTTTCAGAGGCCATCCCTGAACTCATCAGGCAACACAGGTTTGCTAAAGTGGAGCGGATTAAGCCTAAGTAGAGTCACAGAGCGGGGAGAAAATACTGCCAATGAGTATTGTGCTGGGAACAAAATCAATTGCAACAACTTATTTAATGCCGGCCCTGTTTGTGAGAGATTATGATTTGTTATTAATGTGTGTGTGATGGTGGCAAAGCCAAGTGACTTTCATATAGCATTTTACCTAAGCAATAGGGCAACAAAATACAAACTCAATCTACCATTTTTTTGAGAGGAGATTTTCTCATTTTATGTATTTTCTAAAAGCTGCATTAATCCTACACACACACACACGACAACTCATGAACAAAGCTGAAGGACAAGCAGCCCTGAACAATCATCACCTCGTGAAGATTTTATAGCTAGCTCGGCTTCAACGTTAGGCATCTCAATTACATTTATCTGATGCTTTTACGCTAAGTGATTTACAATAAGTGCAATAAACTCTGAAGATACAAACTCAGAACAGCAAGAGACCTACAGGTACAGACGCTTCAAACAAGCCAGCGTAATTTTACATATTCCACTTTCTTGCAAATCTATTAGCTAACTATGTCAGTTGTTTGGTGAACCTTGAGAACCGTGGTTTGCTGTAGAAGCTGCCTGCTGCTGCTGCTGCTTGAAGTGGGATTGATGCGCGCTGTGAGAAGGAACAAGAGTTGGGTCATAACTCTTTTGGGGTTCATCATCACTAAGACAACCTCCACATTACACACGGTCATTGGATGCACATGGCGGTGCACTGGAGCTTCGGAATGGGATAATATGTGGGAGCAGAGTTAAGTTTGAGGTGAGGGAAATAGATCGGATGTGATTTCTGTCACACATGCATTCATCAAAAGCTTCCAGACAGCAGCTAACTCAAGGTTGGCATTTCATCCGTCAAATGTGCCAGAAGCCTAAATTCAGTCAGCTGTTTTTTTCAGACTTGGCTGGTATTTTGTGATATGGCATTCAATTCCCACCCCCCAAAAAAGAACGTTCAAGTGCGTGCATGTCGTTTTAGTTAGAAACTATAATGAATGAAAGGTGAAAAAGGGTTGTATAACATGTTAGAAATTAAACCTGTTAGACAGCATCACATATCTTGCTTTTCTAACAAAGAACTCAAGCTTTCACTAAACCTATTGAGAGAAATGTTCAAACCAAATAGGAGCTAAGGTAGAAATGGAATAATCTGGTATCACCACCAATTATAAAACATAATTGTGTAGGTTTGTACAATGTTTTCCTGCGTGGGTAATGAACTCCCTTGTAGGTTTCAGAGGTTTAAATGGGTACAATGATTACAGACCTCAAAGCATGTAATACCATTTAGACGACACCCAGAAAGCATTACAAACTTCAAGCATGTCAAGTCGAGCAGTAATGACCTCCAGGAGGATTTCATCTTGGAGACAGCTTTCTGAGTGCATGTCTAGTCAGACTAATACCAGCAACAGCATAGTATTAGGGCGGCAGTGGTTCAGTCTGTAGGGGATTGGACTTTGGACCGAAGGGTTGCCGTTTCACGTCCCGATCAGCCCAAAGAATACAGAGTGTGGACTGGTACTGGAGAGGAGACAGTTCACCTCCTGGGCCACTGCCGAAGTGCCCTTGAGCAAGGCACCTGACCCCCAACTGCTCACTTGCGCCGGCTAGACTGGCTGCCTCCACTCTGACCTCTCAACTGCATGTGTGTGTATTTGTATATGTGCATGATGTAAAAAGTGTGTATAAAGCTGTACAAAAATGCATGTGTGTGTACGACAGAGTTGGAAACTGAATTTTAATAAAAGGTCCATCATCTTCTTCTTCTTCTTCTTCTTCTTCTTCTTCTTCTTCTTCTATTACAGAGGACATGTGTATAAGCAGCATATTTTAAAGGATCTTTGTTTTCACTCCTCCTTAGTCTCACAGCCGACCCAAATAGACTAAACCAAAATAATTAAGTCCACTCAGAAATAAACCTAGGAAAAAATCAACATGGAATTTTGATAGAATTGATTGGAACATTAGCATTCTATCTGACGCACAGTTTGTGGTTACTTTCAATATGAGGTGCAGAGATGGTCTGACGCAGTCTTCAGTTTGAAGAGCACATTTAGAGGAACTACAAACACAAAATTAGGCCAATGATCGAATTTATTTTACACACATCACGCAAGTAAATAATGATGTATTAACACATGGGGATTATGCATTTTCCTCAGACACAGTCAACCAGAGTATGTGTGCCATAGGACTGAACCAGTGGTTAAAAGGCTCAAAATACAAAGTAGTACATAAATGCAGTAATGTGGATATACTGAAGGCAAGAGCCTAAATGACTAAAGTCACCACAAGAGTTTTTTCCAGATCAGTGAAGGTTAGCAAGGACTCCATTTGACCTATAATCCATTGAGAACAGACCTGTGACTTTTCAAACTACACACAATATTAAAAAGCAGCTTATAGAGATCTCACACTTTGTATAGGGACTATTGTTGCCACTCTTATTTATACATTTTGCTGAAAAATCAGGCAATCTGAGTAGCTGGAATAATGGGAAGCAATTATATTTTGATTCTCCTAGGATTACAATTTGTTTTATGAGAGAAGTCGCTGCAGCATGAGAACAATGCTGCAAGAATATATTTATTAGTGTCATTTTCTACGAATGTGTGAAAAAACTAAAGGGCACCATAATTACACATCATCAGGACGCTAAAGGCTTTTGGGTATGCAATAATATTCTTAAAATGGTGTTATTTTTACATGGTCGCTTTGCATGTGAAAAGTCAATGGAAACTAAAGAGTGTTTAGATGCGACAAAAACGAGGCATGTACTGGATAACCAAAAGAAAACTGTTGACATGTGTGATGCCCCTGTGGGTTCATCTGGAGAGGGTGTGGCTGTGCTGTGTCGTCCAGCCTTGATTGCAGTAGCTGCAGGGCACCTGGGTCTGGTGCCCTGCAGCTACTTGGAGCCTCTCTGTCTCCTCTCTGCTTTCTCCTACAGCCACCTGGTTATGTTGAGTATGCTATGAGTTACTTCAGTTGCTTTACTTTGTGCATCTCAACACCCTCACACGTCCATGCAACCCCTCACCCTGCACTTACACTACTGATACCACTGACGTCCACACCTCATGCTTTACCTACTTTGCACTTAAATTAAATTTGGTTAATTTGAATTGTTTGCTTAAATAAACATATTTTGTTAACCTTTGAAATGGTGTGTCTCCTCTTTGTTGTGGCCTTTTGAGCCGGGTCACAACAACATACAAGTGCAACCTCCCAGCCATTGCATCTGAACGCAGGTTACTCCCCTCAGTGAGCCTGCACAAGCCACTAAAGTGTCAAAGCTCAGTTCAAATATTGAATTCAAACACAACCAACCCCACCCTCCCATCACACCATCCCTTGCTGAGTTTGCACATTTGCCCTATCTTTGCAGAATTTGCACACTGTACTTTACAGCCTACTGAACTGTATTTGACAGCATATCCCTTTCTTCCAGTCTTCTTATTGTAATGGATGTTTATTATGGTCAATCCAAAGATTTGTTCCACAATGAGGACCATAAAAAAAGTTATTTTGAAGTTAAATCAAACAATGTCAAAAACAACTGACAATGAGTGGAATTTGCCAAAGATGAATTGTGAAATAACAAAAATCCCTGTGATGTGGATAGAGCATAGGTGAGAAGGAGATGAATCACACAATCGATCAGAAAAGCATGCTAGAGAGAATAAAAGAGTAAAACACTGTCAGGAGAGAGAAGAAAACGCTCAGATTAATTTCCAGCACCATGGACAGCTCATAGGAATCATAAAACCAAGGAACCTCACAAGGTCTCCTCCTAAATCAATCTTCACAAATCAGACATTGCACTTTTATCATCTAATTTACTAATAGATGTTATTTACATTCAGTGGCATTAACCACAGTGCACAGACTATAACAGTATACTGTATTTATTCTCAGTGTATAGCTTTAGAGTAGGAGGGGGCACACACACACACACACACACACACACACACACACACACACACACACACACACACACACACACACACACACACCTTTAAAAGGAGTCTGGTTTCATGCTGCGTAAAGGTAGTCACTACACTACGGTTGCAGTTCACTACATTGCCTGCTGATACAACAAATAGACCAGCTGCTTCCTGACAACAAAATCCATTTCCCTTAACAAATCGTGGCTTATTGGCTTCAAGAGGTCAATGTGAGACTCTTAGGCCAAACACATAATTAACATAAGATGCATGAGCTTATTATACAAAGGACATGTGGGTCCAAAGGACAAGGCCAGTACAAAAAAAAGTTCCCATGACGTTGACATTTAGTAACCAACTTTCTGCAGGACACTAATTTGCAGCCTGTATGGAAAGGATTACATGTGTAACAGCTCAAATTGTGCATGTGTGGTGACATCAATAACTTACCTTCACAGCATCAGCATGGGTGACTTTGTCGAAGACTTTGTCGTTGACTTTCATGATCTGGTCGCCGATTCGAAGACCCTCTTTCTCCGCCAGGCTTCCCGGCTCCACCAGGGACACGTAGATCCCGACCCCATGCTCGGACCCTCCGCGGATGCTGAAGCCCAGGCCCTCGTTGCTCTTGTGTCTCTTCATGGTGACCTGCCGGATCTCGCCCGGCGGCTCGTGGACAAAGTTCCTCCCGAGCAGAGGCACCAGGGGAGCTGTCCCTTCGCTGCTGGTGCTGAAGCTGTCCGGAGAGCCACGCAACGCCACCTGAAACTCAGGCGGGTTGTTTGGTGAGAAATGCCCCGGAGGAGTAGGGCTGGCACTGGGGAAGTCTCCCGGCGGGGGTTCAGCGTTGCCATTGCTTGCAACTGAATCCGATTTTAAGTAGAGGCCCTCCGAGGTGTACTGCTCGAAGAGGAGCTGGTCGGAGCGGGGGATGACCAACCGAAGCATGGGCAGAAGTTGCCGCTTGCTGGGCGCGTTGAGGATGACGTTGAGGGTCTGGACCAGGTCGTACACGTTGCGTTTGGAGTGGTACACGTTGAGGCAGTGGATGAACTGCTCCCTCTCAAAGTCGTTGAGCAGGAGGTTGAGCGCGTTGTGCAGTTTCCTCACGTTGGCCGACAGCGTCCGGGCACTGGAAGCCACTGAGTTGGCCGAGGAGCTGAGCGACATGCGCTCCAAGTCGGTGCTGCTCATCGTGGCGGGTTGACCGGGACACGGCGCCACACTGGTTAGAGAGCAGGCATTACGGGCTCGCAGCCCGGGGTTACACCGGCGCTTGGCATCACGACCGCTGGAGGACGGGCACCCCGGTTATATCCATGCTGCCCGCCTCTGACAGATGATCCGCCGATTGGTAGCAATTAAAGTGAGGCAATGCAAAGGGGCAACTTCTACGGGCAGTTTAGTCCAGCTAATTCAATTTCACAGCTGAAACAAATTAATTGGCACTTACCATAATTTAGAAATCATTAATTGGATTCTGCAAACTTCACCTGCGTCAGGATGGACATGCAACAGCCTCTCAGAAACCCTGTCCCGCTCCTCGCAGAGCTTAGTAATGAGCAGCAGTATGATCCAGCCTGCTGTCATTAGCTACGGTCTAATTTCCCAGCAGGTCAGGTGGCCACAGAGACGCCGCTTCTCTGGTGTCTCACCGTCAGCAGCAGTTCCACGAGGCGCGGAGGCGGAGTAAAACAATAATACGAGGACTTAAAAGTTGTAGGCGACTTCGTCCTCTGCTTCGTTAGCAACTCGAAAAGAAAAGCTATTCCCTCAACGAAGAAGCAGAAAAAAAGTTGTTTTCGAGCTCGTGCTCAGCGTCCCGAGGAGTCCAAACGTCCCGCTCCGGTCTCGGTTATAGTTCCAAACGAAGTGAAGTTGACATAAATGTCTTTCCAGCAGAGTTACACGGAGCGAAAGACGTGTTTCAGTCGTTTTTGTGTTGGTTTAGTTTTATTTTCCTTACCGCTGCGGTGTTGCGATGACCTGCTACTCGGTGTCTCCGTTACTACAGCGACAGGCTGGCGGCTGGCGGCTCGCTCTCCTCTGACAGTCCTCTAACAGGAAGTGACGCAGAAGCCTCGTGCAGCCAATACATAGCTTGTTATTACTTACAGCATGCGCTCGTGCTTATGACAATTGGTTACTAAACAGGACTTTAATTAGACATAAGTGTAGCATGCTTTTGGCTGTTCAGCATGTTAGTTAGTTTTTGTATTTTTCAAATCTAAAAATGGTTCTACTTATAAGCAGCCAACGTGACACAGGTGTCACATGACCTTTTAAATGTTCTCGAAAGTTCCTTATAGAGCTTTAGCCTTTATTTTATCTAATGAAGTCCCGAAGTGACACACACTGAACAGTCTGGTGGGTCATGGGCCAGGACATGTGATTTTGTGTTCCCATAACAACATGTCCAAGATGTCCATGCGCCAGACTAACACATGTGACAGAACTAGCTACATTTCAAAAGCTTTTTTTTTGTAGCTGAAGGTAAAATTCAAGCCATTTAAGAATGAAAATGCTTACATAACATGTCATTTATTATATTTAACCTGTTGTAGAAACATTTATTGATCAAATTGATATGAAACAAATGAGACAAACATCGCTGTGACACATCAGGACTTTAACCCTAAACGTTCAAAGTAAACCCAATGTGACATTTATGCACAATTAGAAATATGATTATGATCTGCTCCGTTAATTTAGCTGATTCAATTATATTGAGTTGACATGTTCTTATTCTTCAATTCAAAGAATGTTCAAACCAATTTAAACCAACAAATCATCCTCATTAATTAAGTTGAAAATACGAGTTATTTTACCATTAAAGCCCAATGTGACAGATATGTCACACTAGGGGGGGTTACTTGTCAGAAATGTGTTCTAGGTGGTCCATTTAGTCTAAATTATGTTGCCATTAATTTTCCCAAAAGTAGAAATGGGTTCGGCTTCTTATGGGTGTGGCCTCTATTTGGCACATCTAATGACGGCTATGAACGTTCATTAATCTCTGTTATTGTTTACGGCTTTACCCAGGAGCGGAAAGTACTCTTAAGTAACATCCAAAAAAATGCTGTCCAGCCTGAAATGCGCTCCTGTCGAGAAACCACAAGACAACAATGAACGTTTGTTTTCTTAAGTGTAACATGAGCCGGACAATTCTAGAAAGAGACAAACAAATAAATCTTCCGGCATATGTCTGAGAAAACATACCAAAAGGTACATCATGCTAGTTAATACTTATACTTCACTTAATTGGTAAGGCAAATGTTATGTTTTCTACCTTTACTTTACAGATTGAGTTATCGTTACACATTTAGGTTATTAATCACTGGCACGCTTTGTTGTATATTATTATTATTGTTTAAGCTTCTCATTAGCATTTAAATTAATTAATATAAACCCCACCATTAGCTTAGTGCAACATTGAAGTGATGAACACATTAATGAACCAATAATTGTAAACATTTATTAAATACCAATTAGATGGTCACGTTGTACTTCTACTTGATTACAATTTTGAATCCTGGACTTTTACTTGCTATAGAGTATTTTTACACTGTGGTATTGCTACTTTTTATTGAAGTAAATAGCACTTCTTCTAGCACCTCTGCTTAATGGCACTTTGTGATTTTGACGCTATTTCAGTGAAACAATGCAGTTTTCTCTACTTAAAGGATTTTAGCTTGTTTCTTGACACTTACTGTATAAATACTCTTTAATACATGCAACACTTTTCAACTGGTAGAATATGAAGCACTTTGTAAGGAATTGGGCAGTTTGTGTTTTTAAGACTGTTACAGGGAGACAATGCAGTTTTGAACATTTGACACATTCTTGCTTAATTCTCTCAAAAAGTTACTGAAAGACACACTTTTATGGATAAAAGCTTAAAACTAGAAAAAGAAGTACTTCGTGTGAGTAGATTTTCATTAAGAATGTGACTCTTAATAATAATAAAGACTACACAACCGAAGTAAAGCTGTCCCAGGACCTGCCTTGCAGCCACTTTAAAGGTAGATAGTGATCATATCTTTAGCAACACTTAGTTAAAACAACACCTGCCTCCCTCTGTCCACAGTCGATCTGGTACGCTGGCACCGACCCCGTCCTCGAGGTGAAGGGCCCGTCTGCCGAGGCCCCGAGGAAGAGAACTATGGTATGTCAGAGATTTAGGTCAGCGTGCATTCACGCCTAGATACACAGTATGCGTCATTTACACTGAGGACGCTGAGGACATGTTCACACACCTTTTCAGGAAATGGCCAATTTTGTCCCCACACTTTGCATCAGGATCATTTATAAATATGTTCTTAAAATAGCGTGCACAAAGAATTGTATGCTTTGAGTTGTTTTGCACAGAAAACATGTTCTATCTCGAGGACTGTTCACACTTCTGGAGTGTATTTCTGCTAATCAAAGTGGAGAAATGTGCACCTGCGACACGTTTAACATTCGTAATAATTGAATAGAGAATAGCTTTGCAGCAGCGTAGTATAGTTACTGCACTAGTTGTCGTGTGTGTGTGTGTGTGTGTGTGTGTGTGTGTGTGTGTGTGTGTGTGTGTGTGTGTGTGTGTGTGTGTGTGTGTGTGTGTGAGTGTGTGTGCGTCATTACAGTGATTGACATTAGCATGGTTAGCTTCTTACAAAATATAACGTTTAATGTTTATAATTAAGGGGGAGGAGGTGGTTCTATTTCAGTGTCATAGGAACTCTTTGAACCGTCACACTTTGCATTTGGCAAGTAAAATTCTGAGTGTAACTATTTCAAAGACTTACACACAAAAGATTCTACATACGAATCGAAACGATCCAAGCTGTCATCTTTAGTTCGTGAATGTTCCTAATGCGCCGAACTCGATCGTGTATCCTCCACTTCTATCTTAGCACTCTGACCACTCTATATTACTTAGTACCGCAAGTACAAACAACTGGACACATTTAGGAAGAGAGAAGGGTAGTCCAAGAAGTGATTCTCAGGCCAAGTACAGCAGGAAACTGAGATTTGTGGCTGTGTTCAACAGCTGCCCCTAACAAAGAAATACTGTGCATGCAATATGCCAGATAGAAAACTTCCTCCTAACAGTTGATTGCAAGTGGACACATCTGAGGA